GATACCCGGGCTGGGGGTCGGGGGCAGCCCAGACTTCAGAGCTGGCCCTGCGTCCTCCGGCCCCACAGGGGACGGCTGGTGTGTGCTGTGACCCCGATCTAGGCCACGCAGGGCGAACAGGTCACAGTGACCAGGATAAGGAGACCAAGGCCAGAGACGAGGAGGAGTCCCCGAGGCGGAGCCGGCCTCCGCCACCTGTGCCGCCCACTGTTCCCCACCACCTGCTCTCCGGGTCCGGCGACAAGCAGTAGATGCCCTTCTGGGCGCACAGGACGTAGAGCAGCCTGGGGACGGCCGAGAGCTCCAGGTGCCACACCTGCGCGGGGAAGCTGTACACGGCCTGCGCGCGGGGAGAGGGCGGCGTCGGGCCGGCCGGAGGGCGGGAGGCGCGGCCCAGCACCCGGCCTCGGAACCCGCAGCCCCTCGGGTCTCCGCGCCCCCGGCGGCCCGCCCCTCGCCTCCCCCCGCAGTGTCCTCCCCCGGGCGGCCCCGCGCTCACGATCAGCAGCCTCCCCTCCTGCTCGTAGACGGAGACCCGCTCGCTCCCGGCGGACACGAAGACCGCGGCCCCGTGGCACAGCACGCGCGGCCGGCCCGCCGCCAGGCCCCCGAGCGGGCAGCAGAAGCTCTCGAGGTACTCGACCCGCGGCTCGAGGCCAGCCATGGCGTGGGCCGGCGGCGCGCACGGGGCGCGGGCACGCAGCTCCGCCCGGGACCGCGGGCGCTTTACGGCCGCCCACGTCGCGGCGCGACCTCCGCCGTAAAGCGGCCCGGCGGGGGGCGGAGCCGGGCCGGCGCGCGGGCTCCGCGGCTCGGGGGTGGGGTCCCGGCCCGCGCTCCGGCGGGTGGGCGGGGGCGCGCCGCTGCGGGGAGGCCGGCGGATACGGCGGTTTGCCAAAGGGCCAACGTGTTTGAAGCCAAACGGGGGACGGCCCCCGGCCTGCGCTCGCGGCCCTCGTTAGTCCTGCGCGCCGCCCCAGGCGCCAGCCGGGGTAGGGGACTCCGCGGCCTGCAGCCCCTCCCACGCCGGTGCGGGGCCTCGGGGCCCGGATGGTTGCGACCGAAGTCGCGTCGCGCCTCCCTCGTGCGCCCCGGAGCAGGGCCGAGTCCGGGACCTGCCGGGACGAGGGCTCCCTCGGGCCGGAGCCCGGAGCCGGGGGTCGGCGGAACGCCACCTCCTCGGGGGCAGGCGGCCCGCTCCGAAAGCGATTTTGTGGGGTTTCGGGGGGGCGGCTAGATTGCATGGGGGATGGGTCACCTCCCTCAGCAGCTGAGTCTCGGACGCCCACTCCTCCCTCCACGCCTGGACACAAGCTGTCCGTGGGTGTGTTGGTTTGGCTGGACGGTGGGTCACCAGCACTCAGTCTGGGGATGAGGGGGGAGCGAGACACCGGCCACCCTGGTGGCCCCCCTCATTTTCCCCAGGGCTTTGGAGAGAGCTGCTGACCACAGAGGGGCCAAGTGCTCTCTTCTGGAGAGTGTCCCTGAAGGGTGTCTGTGGACGGAGAGGTCAAGCACACCTCACTCCTTTAAGCCATCGGAGAACCTCTGAGGCTGGGCACCTGTGAGCCAAGGAGGCTCCGGTGGGGAGCGACCGAGCACAGCGCGCTGCAAGACGTGCCCTGGGCTTGGATTGAAGCTGGCCCCTCTTGTGGCGGCTGAGGTGGGCACTCAGCCCCCAGGGCCGTGGGCAGCCACGGCTCGTTTCTGGGTTGAGTGCATGTGAACGTGGCATTGGCAGTCCGTTGTTTGCCCTTCCTGCTCCCAGATGAGTCTGGGCTGGGAACACCATCCAGGATGCGGGGCGACAGGCATGAGGAGGACGGACTCCCACCAGGCCTTCGTGACTGGGGAGTGGGGGCAGGCTCCTCCGCTAGGAGCGCGTGCAGGCCTTCTGGGCCAGTCAGACCGCCCTGCCTTGTGAACTGCCCGCTCACGCTAACTCCCAGCTTAGCCCTCCCAGGACGAGGGTCCTGCGGAAAATGAGCACGTGGGGAAGTGGATCTGGAAAGAGGTGGGTTGAGCCAGGCAGGCCTCCGCCACACCGGTTTAGCCCCTGGCTGGCCAGGATGCCTCTGCAGACACTGGTAGGTTGGGTCCCTACTCCCTTTGCTGTGACGTAAGATTTACGACCAACGGTCCATCTGGACAGAGGGCCCCGGAGTGCCAATCCCTGGCTGACACACGCACCAAGGGCTGAAGGCTGGCACGGACAGCGGAGGGGTGATGCAGAGTAGGCGGCCGCCCGCATGGGTGTGCGAGGTGTGTACTTCTGTCAGTGCTCTCTACACAGCTGTGTGGGCAACGTGATCTTCCTGCAGCCCCACGACACCACCAGCCGGGAGAGAAACCGTGGTGTGTGCGGGGCAGCTGCCAGCCGTGCTGGTGGCTCCTCATGGCAGCGCACCCCCTTCCCATGGTTTCCTGAGGTCGGGACCGCTCACTTCAGAGATCCAGCAAGTCCAGCGGTCTGAGATGTGCCAAGGGCCGGGTGTGGCAGTCACCCCAACTTGGGGACTGTGGTTAGTAGCGTGCATGGCACCGCACCACTGCTGGGAGCAGCCAGGCCTGGGGGCACAGTGAGAGGCACCCAGGGACCCCCGACATCGGCAGGTGCTGTATTCTGCGTACTTGTCCAGGGAACAATGCATCCTGAGGCCAAAGGACAGGGCAGTACCCAAACACCAAGAGCGAATGCCTCTGGCTGCCATCGACAAGGTAATCTGGGACAGGCAGCGTGTCCCCTCCAGGTCTCACATCCCCACACCTGTCCAGTCTTGGGGCTGCCAGACTGCGTCCCTCATCTGCCGCAAGCACCTGCCTCCCCCAACGCCCCCGCCAGGCCCAGAAGCAGCCACACGGCTACAGGAGAGCACCCGAGGGAGGCTACGCTCTCCTTCCACCCTGAGGACACGCTGGGGTCTCTATCCTTCAGCGGTCCAGATACGTCAGCGAGGACAGTGACGTGTGGAGCGAAGTCAAGCCACAGGACACAAAGCAGACTGGGATGCAGACACACACGGCGCACAGGGAAGGTCTCTGGGCCCAGGAAAGACACTCGGGAGCTCGGCAGTCACTTCAGGGTTTTATTGGCTTCACGGTGGGACCCGAGTCCAAGTAACGCTAATGCAAACCCAGCAGACGCAGCCCTGCAGCCGCGAGCGGGCTGGAGCAGCAGCACCAGGGGCTGACCATCAGGAGGCCGAGGCAGCCAGCTGTGTGCACCTGGGCACCCAGTCACCCCTTGCCCGGGGGTGAGAGGGTGTGTCCACAAGAGGGCAAGTAGGCTGCAGGTGGGGCTGGGGGACCCCTCCCTCCCTCCCCTGTGCAGGAGGCAGCGGCTGAGCTGCCCATGGCCAAGGCCTCCGGCAGGGTGCCCCCCGCACCCTCCCGCTGAGCTCCAAGTCTGTTTATCTGGACAATAAAGTGTGTCACTGAACAGTGACTCAGAAGCAGAGAAGTCCCAGCGTTTTTCCTTCAGCTAAAAGATGAAAGGAAACGAATTACGCATCTGCCGGATCTTGGAGTGAGAATGTTGGCTGAAGAGAGACGGGAACCAGCTTGGTGGGTGAAGGTGACACAAGGAGAAGGACTGGGGGAGCGGGGGCCTGGGGGACACAGAGGCCGAGCTCAGGGCCCGGGGCCACCACGCCCCTCCACAGCCTCACACTGGATCGCAGGGACCACACGGCACGGGGTCCACGAGGCATGGACAGCCCCTCAGCAGGTGGCAGGGAGCCAAGCTCAGAGCCGGGACAGCTGCCACAAACTGGTGGGGCCCACCCTCCCCAACAACCAATGGCTCTGCTGAAGCCAGACCCAACCTGATCGGCCCCTGGCCCCCAGGGCAGAGAAGATACTGGGTGAACCTGCAGATGCCAGGCACAGCCTGATACACGGAACACAGAGTTCTCTGTCTGCAGTGCCACAGGTAAGGGCGGGCCATGCAGGCCTCCCTCTACCCCCAGGGCAGAGACACGAAGTACCCAACACAGTCCACGTCTGGGCCAGCCTCTCCCGTGGGTGCCCTGCAGCTCAGAGACAGGACCCTCATTAAGGCAAAGAAGCATCAGGGTGCCGCCCACAACCCCCTGGGGACCCCAGAGCACACGCGCAAGGCCTGATACGACCTCTGTCCTGGGACCCCCACAGCAGTCCCAGTGACCCTCACAACTGGCCAAGCCCCTACTCTCTCTTGCAGGTCTGTTGCAATGGCTCGGTCACCATGCAGGAGGCCTGGGGCTGGGCAGAGCAACGGGGAGAACAGTGGACAGGGCACAAGGGGCCAGAGCTTCGGGTCCCAGGCAACCCAGCTCACCACAGGCCGGCCTGGCCCATTTGCAGGGGCGGATGCTTGCCAGGAGCGACCGTTGCCCTCCTGCTGGACCGAGTGCGCCGCTGTGGCAGTTGTGTGGCAGGAAGGTCTCAGGCACTGAGGTTTACTTCCAAGAAGAACTGACTGTGGGTCCCCGTCCACCTTCGCCCACCCTGTGTCCACCCTGCAGCCACTCCAGGGACTCACGAGGGGAGGGAAGGAAGTGGGAACTAGTGTCTCTCAGTCCTCCTTGTATGTAGTTTTTACCTTACAAAGAAATAAATAAGTCTCCTGGGCAGAAGTTACTGATAACTGTTATTACAACCAATGCAGACTTTAAAAATCCCACCTGGATGTCGGGTGAGAGCGAGGAGGAGGGCGGGCAGCAAATGAACCTGCAGGTCAAGCAGAAGGGAGGCCAGCAGCCCTGGGCCCACTGTGATTCTGCCAGATAATGGCCACCGGCAGGGGAAAAAGTGGCCTTCACAGGCAGGGTCTGCCCAGAGCAACAGGGACGCCAACGCTCCCACCCACAGCCACGGGAAGGGGAAGAACAAGAGCCAAGAGGAAGGGAAGAGAAAGCGGGATGGCGGCAGTCAGCCCTCTCTGCCCCCCAATCCCGGGTGATGGTTCTGGGGTGCCCAGGTCCTGCCACCACCTCGGATGCTGGCCCTAGGCATGCGGGGGGACCGTTGTGCCACCCCATTAGGAGGCTGATGTGCGCCCGCGGAGCACCAGCCTGGCTCTCCCTCCAGGTTAGCCTGGTGCTGAGAAGCTTTGTGGGCCAGTGACCCGAGGGCAGCCACCCTGCCCCGCCCTCCAGGGCTGCCCACCATGGGGCCGTGGTGACAATGACCCCGGTTTCAGGGAGGGCTGGGTGGGCCCCTAGGTCCTCGGGAGGCTACACATCTCGCAGTGGCCGGTGCCCGGAGGGTTCATGAAGGTGCAGTGCTGACAGGCCCACATGGCTGCTGTGGCGGCGTGCGTGGCGCCCCCGACGGCCCCGTACTCATGGAGGCCCGGAAGTTGCACTCCGACGGTGCCTGTGGGACGGGAAGAGAGGCTGTTGGTTGCCGTTCGCGGCTCCTACCCCGCGAGAGCTCTACCTTACTATGTGGCGGAGGACAAGGCGGCCCAAAGACAAGCAGCCACGGGCACAGACAGACGGGGCTCTCGGGCCACGCGGGGGCCCCCACACGCGCACACAAGCCTGTGGCACAGAGCTGGGGTCCCAGCGTGAGCCACTCAACCCCAGCGCTGTCCTGGGGTGTGCCCGGCGAGAGCACCGCCTCCGGCTGCCCATCAGGGTGGCTGGCGGTTTGGAGCCGTCAGCGGCACAGCTGCCACCCACACGGCCGCACACATCTCCGCGTGGGCCTGTTTTCACGTCTCGGGGAAAAGCCCCGGAGCCGGCTTCCTGGACCTGAGGAAGTGGCTGTTTCTACAAGGCCGCCGGCAGCTCGCATGTGGCCAGCGGTGCGTGCAAGGGGACGAGGTGTGCGGGGCTCTCGCTGAGGGTACATTCCACGCCCCTGCTCACAGACGCTGCTCTCTCTGCGTCAACGGTCTAAGTCACCAGGTTCTTTTTAATCCATGTGCAGCTGACACAGGATGCTTAATTCTGGGGTCCAGCACAGGGACCCGTCAGTCCTGGCCGGGGCCCAGCGGCCTCAGCCTGCACCGCTGCAGCCGGCGTCTCTGCAGGGAGGCGGCGGCATGGGGCGCACCGTACCCCTGGCCACCCGAGGACGCGAGGTCGCGGGTCTTCCTCTCAGGGAACTGGGCGGCCACGACCGGGCCACTGCATTAGAACGGACAGCCCCGCAGAACGCAGGGGCAAGAGCACGCGGCACGTCGGCCAGCCCCGTGACCGCTCCGCCGGCAGCCGTGCAGAAAGGAGAATGTGACCCGAAGCGTAACCAACACCGAGGTGCTTCGGACCACAGGCCCCGGGGAACTGGCACCCCCATGAGAGAACGTGTCCCCTCGGCTCCCTCATGGCTTAGGCTGCACCGAGGTTTTCCTTGGCTAATTTTGGCTCTAGTATCTAACTCACTAGTTTGAGAAAATGGTGTAAACACTTTTTATATGTACTTCCAAAGCTGTCTGAAGAGGGCATTCCAGTGTTTCTCAAAGCCACAGGGAAAGGGGCCACGCCAGCAGCCTGCCACCCGGAGCTCCTGGGACTGAAGACAAAGGCTCCGTGTGGGCAGCGAGGGGACTCGGGATCCTGGACAGTCTATTCTGTACGGTTTGTCCTCCCTACCCTTCACGGAAGCTCCGAGGACCAGTACAGAGAAAGGACAAAGGAAAGCCTGAGGAGACCAAAGGTTTCTGACGTTTTGGCACTGCGGCAAACGTAAGGTTTGTGTTTCCCTAAAACAAGGACGTTCAAATTGCCCCTATGACACCACAGGACTGGCATACCCTCCACATCCACGAAGCTGCACCCACAGATCTGTGTGGCCTCGAGAGCACGCCTGGCGCAGCGGTGAGAAAGTCTGTGTCCCCGAAGGGCCTCCCGCAACACCACCAGAACGTGTCTGGGGTCCGAGAGGCTCTGCAGAGCACGCGTCCAGCTCCCTGCGCTCCGGCGGTGGGGGTGCGAGAGTGGCACCCTCAGAGCCGAGGAAGGGGAGGACACTTACTGCACAGCTGCTCGATGGTGGCCCACTGCTCAGACTTCTTCCACGTCTGGGCGAGCTCCTCGTTCCCAGTCCTCACGGCCTCCAGCAGCAAGCTGATGCTGTCCTGCAAGAGGCCAAACGTGAGCGCCGCGCGCCGCACACCCGGCACGGAGTCGCCCCTGCCCCGCAGCACACACGCTTCGCAAGCAAGTGAAGAACCTCATGGGCTGTCCCCATGAAACACCAAACGCCACACACTTAGGTCTACAAAGCCAAGTGCTAAATTTTAGAGCTGAATTTAAGTTCTTTCCCGATAGCCGTCCGTGCGGCTCTCTGTCGCGAGCAGACCTGTGTGCTCAACCACGAAGCACTAGAGCTCACGTCCCTTATCCTGAGGGCTGGGTGCACGGACAGGGCCTGCGCTCCTGGGCTCCATCCTCCGCCCTCACGCTCTCCCTGCAGACTCTCCATCTTCTCGACCACGTCTCTAGGTGCTAGGCATCCACGGTCAAAGTGCGGGGAATTAAAAGAGTTTATCTAATGAGAAACTAAGCCTTCGGGGGCTGCCAGGGGCTCCCCAGAACATGTTTTCTACCAGGTGACTGTCAAACCGGACGCGGCCCCCGGTGAGGAGGCCTAGTGTGAAGGGCCCACCCTCTGGGCTTAACAAGGCAGGTGAAGCCAGACGGAAGCCTCAGGATGCCTGATGTCAGATGCCAGAAGTGGGTAGTCTGGGGACGAAACACAGACAGCAGCTAAACCCAGCGGTGTGCAAGAACCGACACAGGCCGCCGGCGCAGGGCTGCAGTGGGGACGGAGGGACCTCTCCCCTCGATTCGGTCACCTTTAAGGAACATGTTGAGCCAGAGGCTCAGAAAGAAGTCATTCCCCTCTCTCTGCTGCCTCCTTGGGTCTCAGCAGGAAAAAAAAGGCACAAGAGCCCCCTGGCTGGACCAGCGGCCCCCCCACGGCTCGGGGAGCAGCCACTGTCAGCGACACCTGCCCTCTTCTCCCCAACAGCGCGTCTTAAAAACGCCAACTCTGCAGCCGAGCACTCCGGGCCTGGACGGCAGCCAGCCTGCTGCGCTACGGCAGTAAAACGCAGGCGGATTCAGGAGAGAAGAGATGGGAAAGCAGCAGAGGCTGTGGCGCTCAGCCCGCAGGCAGCTCTGTGCATCGTGGGATCGCGGACGCCCCGCGCCGGAGGGCTCCGAGCTCCCTACAGAACTGAAACAAATGCAACTGTCCTGATCCTGGGGACAGACACTGCAGGAAGCAGTTTAAGTGCAAACTCCATCTCCTATCAGTAAGCCTCTTGGGAAGAGCCACTGCCCACAGGACGTAGGAAGGACTTCGACCCGGCTCCGCAGCCCTGCTCTGACCGCAGCCCTGCTCTGACCCTGCATCTCTCTACAGGCAGCCCCCACCCGGGGCCCACCAAAGCCAGGGGCGCAGCGGCCACACACTCAGGCCTGTACCTGCAGAGGCATGACCTCATTGGTGACCAGAAACAGCAGGAGGTGGAAATCCGAGATGGTGTCCAGGAACACGGATGAGGTATTCTGGGACAGATAGGTGGCCAAACTGTGGAAGTCCTACAGGGCGAGGCAGAAGGAAGCAAGTGAGTACAAGCGTCCCAGGACAGCCCCCGTGCTGAGCCCAGAGAGCCATCTGCCCCTCCTGAGTCCCGGCTGGGTGCAGAGTGCGGACACACCTCTCTCTCCAGCTGGTTCTCACGCACCAACGGGGACCCGGGCCAGAGGGACACGCGGCTACGACACGCGCTCTGGCCTGTCTTCCAGGAATGAGCTCTCCACCCGTGTGACTCATGGACGTGTGTGTGTGAGAGAGAGAGAGGGTGTATGTAAAGCTGGGCCGGCTGCAGACACACTCAGGGAGCCCAAAAGTGCCCCCGCCGCTCCAGGAGGAGAGTGGGCTATGAGAAGGGCTCACTCTGCGGCTAGAAAACCTGTGTGCACTCGCTGTCCAGCTGCGCTGCTGATCTGTGTGTGTGCGTGTGTGCTGGGGGGCGGATGCAACACACCCACCTTCAGCAAAACTAACCCAGGAGGTCAAGAGCACCGCCCAGGAAGTGAGTGGCTCTGCACCTCTACAAGCACCCCGAGTCCCCGCACAGAGGGGCCATGAAGAGAGCAAAGCATCAGAGTGCACCACACTTCCCAAGGACTCTATACTCTTTCCTGCGACGCCTGTAACAACTAGGACCTAAGATGAAATGCGTGTCCCAGACGGCCCGTGCGGCAGCAGGAGGCAAGCGGGCAGCCGAGGGCAGGGCCCAGCACACAGGACGTGCTGCGTGGGATCCGCACTGCGTGCTGGAAAACCCAGGTGGCCAGGCCACACGAGGCCCACACGGCCCAGACCACGTATGAGAAATGCAGCAGCAAGTGGGTGCCTGGGGGGCTTAGTTGTGCAGCGTCTGCCTTCGGCTCAGGTCATGGTCCCAGGTCCTGGGATCGAGCCCCGCATCGGACGCCCTGCCAAGCTGGGAGCCTGCTTCTCCCTCCCTCTCTCCCCCTGCTCCTGCTCCCTCTCTCGCTGTGTTTCTCTCTGTCAAATAAACACATAAAATCCTAAAAACAAAACAAAACAGAAAAAACGCAGAAGGTGACAGCGCAGGAAACCAAAGCAAACATCGAGCTGCCACATCTCCACAAGGAGATGATGCTTGTTAATGAACAAACACTAAAGAAGTTGTTGGCAGAGGACACAAGTGTCAAACACATTTGAGGAAGAAGAAGTCAACTGAGAACGGCCCGTTGGCAGATCCACAGCCCCGGGGCCTTACGGGGGTTTGCCACAGTGGTTATCTTCAGGCCCCAGCCCCGGAGAGGATGTCACGGTGACCAACTGAGTCTCAGAAAATGACCTAGCTGGGCTTTGTCACAAGAATCAATCAGGAGAGTTTGAAAGCTTAGTACGTTCTGGAAAAACATCACTGACACCAGATAAACAAGCAGGAGTCACATTAAATCATGTCTGTAAAGACGAGCTTACCTGTGTCTCACCCAGGACGTCCCGGTTTTCAATAGGAAACGGACTTTGTGAAATGGAGAAAGTATGAACTGGGTCCTTGGGGAAGGTTGTTGTGATCTAGCGAACAAACACACAAACCTTGCTAAATCGTGCTGCAAGCAGTGGTGAGGGCAGCCCCGAGTGCGGCACCCTTCCCCTGAGCTCCGGCCTCAGAGTCCTGTTCCCCACTGGACACCACGGTCCCGTTAATGACGCCAAAAATGAAAGCCCTGACACTGGTCCCGGAAGCCAACGGAAGGACCACTGTTCACACGCTCGAGGACAGGGCCATCCGCGGGCCGTCCGAGTGTGCGGGCCTCCGCAACACCTAACTCGGGGCTTCCATCAGCCTAGCCGCTCACACAGAGGCCCTCGCCTGGGGAGGAGCCGGAGGGTGAGCCGTGGGGACATGACAGATGAGGCCAGAACTCTAAGGTCAGCCGAGACAGTCTGGGAGACGCAGCGACCTCCAGAGAGCCTGCTGAGGCCCCTCGGGACGTCGGGCCGCACCATGTGGATGCAGCAAGAGAAGCCACACTCCTGACGTGCGGCACAGGGCACGCCTGCTCTCCCCGCAGACGGGCTGCGGTCAAGAGCTTGTGTCCAAAACGGCACCTAAGCCCTTCATCTGGCTCAGACGCGCTTTAGGAACCAGAGAGGGCGTTTCACGTCAAACGCTGCATCAACAGAAACCACAGGGGCAGGGGCAAGTGTGCAGGAACCCATGCGGACACAGGTCCGCGCTCCCCGGCAGACGCGCCTCCCCACGGAGGCACCCAAGTGTGACCGTCAAACACCCTTGGGTTGACACAGCCTTTCCTCTCCAACAGGACAGTAGCGCCAGCAGATCACACCTCGTCCACACTCAGCGGAGCTCTTCTGGTTCCTCTGGGACTATCGCTGAGTGGAGACACGCTGTTCCAGTCTGTTCTCTGCATCAGCGACGGCCGCGGGCCGCTTCGGGCTGGCTAGCCGGGATCTGGGCGACTGCACCAGCACGCTGGGGAGCGGCTGAGCGGGCAGCGGCGTCGGAGACCTGACCCCGCTGCTCTTCTAAAGGTGTTACTTTTAAGTCCTGTCTGCACCCAATGTGGGGCTTGAACTCACAACCCCGAGATCGAGTCACACGCTCCAGCAACTGAGGCCGTAGCCAGGCGCCGCTCCCGCTGGTGTTTTACTGACGAGACCATGCAGCCCGCAGACTCCGGCCACTGTGCCGCATACGGCCGTGTGGCCTCTGTCAGCCACGGAGCCTAAGCCTCGGCCTGCTCCTTTAGAGCCAGAGCCGCCCCCGAGAGCTGGCGTCCACCGAGGCTCAGACGCACACGGCCTTACCGGGGCCAGGGGCTGCCACGGTTCCACAGAGGGCGGGAGAGCGACTCGCGCCGGGGAGACGAAGGCCTGTGGACGGCACAGCACCTCCACTCCGGGAAGGTAGACTCGGTGGGGGGCCAGCAGCAGCAGACGCCCACCGGGCAATCAGTGTGGAACTAAGAGACGTCTCTGCCCGGCTGGTAACCGCCCCTTCACGCAGGACAGCGAGAGTTCACCGGGTAGTCTGTGATGACCGCAGACCCCACAGAGGGGCACAGGGCACCCGGCACCTAAACCACAGCCCCCAAGCCTGTCTCAGGTCATGTAGCCGATGCCCAGACGCCCCGAACCGCACCAGCACAGCAGCCCGGGGACGGTGGCTCACGCCCTCTCTTGCCTGAGCCTGCAGCCTACTCACGAGGCTCGACGAGGGGCTGAGCACACCGGTCTGGACATCTGCTCTCAAGGGACTGCTCCAACCTCATTCCGCAACAGAGAGCGTGGCCGTCACGAGGCGGAATGTTCCTTCACGACCAGACTCTACTGACACAGCACACTGAAGCAAGAACTCGGCTCTTTTGTAAAAAGAAGAGGGTGGGGAGGCCACGGGGAGAGAAGACCTCAGAAAGCTGCCTTTAAATCACGCCGACTCCTCCTAAGTGCGTGTTCCGTCCATCTGTTTTCATCTTAACGACACCCCGGGTGGTCTAAAACACAGACGCCTTCACGGCCGAGGTAATAAATGTGTTCTCGGGAGCTGCCAACTGGAATGGCGCACCGATGGGCTTGGCTCCCGGGGACCCGTTGCTCCAAACGCGAAGATATTTTACAGCCTGAATCACGTGCCCTTCCTGAGCCCAAACGTGGCCTGGAGAGAACCTGGCAGGTCGCAGTTAGGAAATGAGTAGCCGCCCGTCCCCGTGGGACAGAGCTGACTTCTGCAAATGTGCCGCGTTCACACTGGAGCCTGCTGCCACCCTCTGGCCTGGGGCCGCACCTCCACGAGCAGAGCACGCCTCCAGAAAGGAGACGAGACTGGGACGGGGCCTCGTAGCCAGCTGCCCGCTGGGCTCCTGCAGCGCCCCACAAGCGAGCACACAAGCACGTCACTCAAGGACCGTCGCGGCTGGCCCACCGCGAGCCCGGCTCTGGCAGATGAGCTGTGACCAGGGTCGGACCTGCACATGCTGACCTCCGGAGGCTGCCTGACCAGGTCGGTGGACCTGCACTTTAGTTTGGAAGAAGGTAAACCCGAAGTTGTTTTTTTAAGGAAATAAACTGAAACTAGAAGGAAAGGCCCTTAGAATCGCCCATTCTTCAGGGATGACAGGAGCTCAATGATGCATCTACTTCCAGGGTGCCCGTCCCGGGCCAAGCAGAGGGGCAACTGTCCAAGCCACCGCCGCCCGCACCCGGCCTGCATCTGGCCGCCCAGGGTGTTGGTGTGTGCCGCACACTTACGTCTATGATCAGATACTCCACGGGCAGGGGCCGGGCCAGCTGGGTGATCTCATTGCCAAACTTGTCTATGTCCTGAAACGGGAAACAGAAGTGAGCGGGATGAGGGAAGGTGTGCCGACCAGAGACGCGCTTTGTCTTTCGCACGCTCGTCGTCCTACCTTCTCAACGATTCTAGGTCTCGCTGAAGTGCAGGAAAAGCAGAGAGGAGCTGTGCGTGTTTTTGCCACAAAGCCACCTGCCGTCACATCCCAGAGCTCGGCGCAGTGGCCACACCATGAAAAGCGACCATGCTCTGGGCTAATGGGGCGTCTCCACTGGGAGCCTGCATCACAGCCCCTGACCCAGCACACTCACTGGCCCAGGGCTCCCTCCCGCCTGCCGCCCACTACACCCGCCCCGCGGCCTCCCACCCGCGCGGCCCTCGGTCTCGGGTCTGAGCCGAGTGACCCCACTCGCACCCCTGAAGCCTGACTTAATCCCGAATAAACGTCAGGAAAACAAATAATACGCAAATGAGCGCACACACAAACACGCAGGCGGGGAAACTCCCCCACCAATCTGTCAAAGTCTGAACTTGTTTTGCTTTGTCAGATGCACAGAACATAAAGTTTAATTATGGGGAAAAACGGCCAGCATATGTTCATTAATCACAAAATGACAATTATATCTGATTTATGTCAAACATGCTGAGTTCAAACAGAGCTCTAGAAATAAATTCATAAGAACCCACACTTTTCATTAAAGATTCTGTGAGGGGGGATCATATTTTCTATCTAAATCATCACTTAACACCATATAAATCATTCACTGAGTCATATATAAATTGTACATCCATAACTTCCAATTATGGGGCCATCCATAAAAGTTTACATTGATTAAAGCCCCCAGACCCAATGGATGCCCAGCGGACCCCCCTGAGGCTCACAGGCCACCGCCGGGCCGCCCCGGCACATGCCACCCTTCCGGGGACCGCAGGGACACACGCCGTCTTCCGAAACAACCTTCACAGGCGTTCCTGAGTTGAAGCAAGTCCATCATCCTGACGGCAAGTCCAGAGGTACTATTTGGCCCAGATTCTTTTGTTTAGAAATTAAGACTCCTGGTCTGCAATACATGTTTACCCATGCCTTCCGGACCTTTTCCTTGATTCACAACATAAGGGAGCTGCCAACCAGAACCCGCTCCTCTGCTCTCCCAGAAAGCGGTCCGGATCTGTCTAACCAGCGAGCCGCACAGGCACCATCAGCACCCCATCAAAGGACGCATTCCTGGAAACGACACACTGCTTTGTCTGTCTGCCTTCCTTTGAAGTTGGAATTACTTTCCAGTCCATGTGACAGGTGGCCGCCTTGCACTGCTTTCTGCGGCCATCAGGCTGGGCCCAGCTTTCTCAGGCTCTACCGGCTGGGACGGGGGCAGCCCCCTGAGTGGGTCCTGGAGCCCCGGAAGCGGCAGTTGCCCAGTGGAGGAGATGTGGTAGGAGGCGGGAGTCAAATCCAATCCAACTAAATCACCACTTCCAAAAATACACGCTTGCCCCTACCAGAAACAACCTGCAACAACTCATACATAATTAGCCCATCTGGAATTCATCTTCCAACCTAATTAAGCTCTAATATGCAGAAACATTCTTCCAGCACCTGTTCGCTTTAATCTTCGCCTCTAGGGAATTTTCTTGCTAAACGCCCCTCTCTCTTTTTTCTGTGTCATGCTATTCTCTTTCAAATTTAACTGCCCAATTGTACCTTTCTGCTCCCCAAGAAAATAAAGGTGTTGTATCCCTCTCTGTTCCCCAGGGGGAAAACAGGTAACTTCTCTCTCCCCCCCACGCCTCCACACCGATGTCTCTGCCAGCCAGTCCCCAGCCCTATGCAGCATCTCAAAAGCACTTACTTTTTGCGGGCGTCAGCAGATGTCGGGCCGGGAGAGGAGGGCCTCTTAATCCCCAGGTTGGCAGCTGACAAAGTGTCAGCGGTTTCATTTCCACAGGGAACACGCCTCTGGGAGAGGCAGGGGCTGAGGTCCCCGGTGCCCCGGCCCCTGCCTCGGCCACGTCTGCAGACCATGGCACCACCGCCATGTTACCGCGGAGCAGCCAGGGAGCCCGTGCTCTGCCGGGACGAGGCAAGCATCGCTGACCAGGGCGCCATCTTGCTGGGAAAAGGCAAATGAGGGGCCTGGTGGCTCAGTGGGTTGAGCGGCTTCGGCTCAGGTCACGGTCTCGGGGTCCTGGGATCGAGCCCCGCACTGGGCTCCCTGCTCAGCGGGGAGTCTGCTTCACCTTCTGCCTGCTCTGCCTGCCTCTCCCTCCCTCCCTCCCTCTCTCTGTGTCAAACAGATTTTTAAAAACCTTAAAAAAAAAAAGGCGAATGGAATCTGTACTGTGTGACTCTTCTCCTGAAAGAACCGGCAAGAAGGAGAACAGGTGACACCGGCGGCTGGATCTGACTTCATGGGACAGAGGAAACAATCAAAGTTCTCAGAGCAAAGTTTCTCCAAGAATCACAGTCTAGGAAACAGCCCTGTGGATAAGCACCTCCAGAGCATCTGTCAATGCCAACAGAACCCGTAGCTGGCATGTATTAGGCGCTGGCGGTGCACAGTCCAGGCTAGACACCACATGTATACAACCACAGGGTCCCAGCACATGGAGACACCAAGTGCTACCAGGTGATTCATGTGCCTGAGATCGAGAGCCTGGTAGGGACAGAGGGGGTTAGAGACCGGGTCTGTCCACATCTCAGCTCAGGAGCTCAGCATCAGAACCGGGCACACTGTCCACATGGCGCTGGGACCAAGAGGTCACACATCCCAATTCCACTCCTCCCCTTGGGGGAGGGGGGCTGTGGCCACAGACCCCCCAGTCCTGACTGCGCCCGTGCTGAGCAACACTCGACCTCTAACGCAAAGAAAAGAACAGGTACCACAGGTTCCACAAAGTCCTTTCTCCTAGAGTGGGATGTTATGCCAATACGTTGTTCAGAATCGCTTCTCTTGCAATTTCTTCATCTTTCTTTCTTTTTTTAAGATTTTATTTGTTTTCAAGAGAGAGCAAAAGCGAGAGATTGTGAGAGTATAAACAGGGGGAGCGGCAGGCAGTGGGAGAGACAGAGAAGCAGGCTCCCCGCCGAGCAGAGAGCCCGACGCCGGGCTCGACCCCAGGGCCCCGAGATCATGACCTGAGCAGAAGGCAGACGCTTCGCTGACTGAGCCACCCAGGGGCCCCAAAAAAGGATCTTTGAAATCGGAAACTATTTCACCTTTTGTAGGAAAAACATAAAGAAAAGGGCAGCCTGGCACGTGTCTGCAACACATGGCAACACACAACACGTGTTAACACACAAGCACCCGACAGACAATGCAGAAACAACGAGCTGCCTCCCAAACGCCCCTGCGCCCCCCACAAGGCAAGTCACAACGGGTTCAGAAGACCCGGGGACAAGGCAGGCACCGAGCAGGATCCGGTGAGCAGCACTGCGCCCGCGCACAGCCAAGGGCAGGAAGGTCTGCGGCCCAGCGCGCACGGGTGAACTGCGCCCCCCCTTCCTGGGGATCTGGGAGAACGCAGCACACCCCGAAACACAGCTCTCCCTCCACAAGGGACACACCGCACATGCCCAAAGTGAGCTATGGGATGACCCAGGAAGCACCACGGAGAGCACCCGGCAGTAGGCAGGCTCCCTGAAGGAGGGACACCCCCCCACCGGCTATGTGCCCTCCTCCTCATGACCTGTGGGACCCCACCTTCCTGCCCCCCCACCTCCCTGTCCTCTCACCTCCTCCAGGGTTTCCAACGCAGGTAATGCCACAAACGGCTTGCTGGGCTTTGTTCCTGTCCCACCAGGCCAGACCTCAAACACCAAACACTGGCCCCTGGCTCTCAGTATGCTACTCACCGCAGGTTCTGGATTCAGCCTGGGTTTCTCCCTGCCATCCCGGAGCCCAAAGGCCACAGGGAGAGGACATAGGCCCCTGAACTACAGCACAAGCCTTTTCACTGGGTTCCCCAACTCCCCTGAAATGATCTTCAGCAACACTGACCTCCCGCATGCAACCTGCTTTCCAGCGCTCTCCTACCACGTCTCATCCTGATTATCTCACCTCCCTCCTGCTGCCCTCCCCTGGCCTGGCTCCGGCTCCCGGCACATGAGGCTTGTGCTGTGAAACCCTCCCGCCTCTGCATCCCGTCCAGCAGGGACGTCCCAGAACTACCTTCCATGCCTCTGGCCATGTCTTCCTACCACCCGCCTCACTCTCTCAGCACCCCGGAGCTACCACCGAGCCTCCGCTCCCAGATGCGCTGCGCCCTCCAGACGTGTGCGCCCCGGACAGGCTCCTCCCAACCTGGCTCTCACGGTCTGGGCTCCGTAGCGCCCACCGCACCACAATGGGGTGCCCCCCAGTCGGCCCACAGACAGCCCGCAGGAAGACCCCAGAGTGACCTGCCCACCACTACCATCCCGGGACCCAGCGGTGACACCTGGCACGGTCTCTAGGCCTGGACCACGTGCGGAGGCCACAGACCCGCTGACGGGGCATCCGCGTGCGCACGGCGGGCCTGGAAGGGCAGGTGAGGAATGGTGCCCGGTGCCTGTTTCCTATAACCAAAACTCTCTGATTTTCCACAATAAACAAACATTTGATTTCATACCGGTAAAATGTCCCGGACGTTAACTTAGACAGACCTGCACTAGGGATCCACATGACACAGAGCTCCGACACGGCCCCTCGAGGTCCTGCTGCCCGTCCTCAGCTGTCCCTTCAGCCGCTGTCTAGACACACTTCCAGGCTCCCCGCAGCTCTGCCTGTTTCTGTCCCGCTCTCAGCTGATGACTGGCTTCCCGTGAGCAAACCGGTCCTCCAAGACCGCCCGTCCCAGCCTTCCAGCAGCCGCCCGCCAGCTCAGGGTCCACGGCGGCCCCCACCTGGGCCCCCCCGGTCTCTCTAAGCCCCAGAGCTCACCCACCACCAGTCGCCCTTGCCACGGGACCAATGCCAGTAGCATACAGGTTATTTCTCTCATATTTAAAAAACCCCCAAACACGCAAGCACCTTGACCCGACTTCCCACAC